CCCCCCCCCCCGCATCGCTCCGACATCAGCCCCCCACCCCGGCAGCAGATGTGCCAGGAATAGTCCTCAGCGCCTCCCCCCCATCTCATTCCTACCCTGCCCCCCGCCCCGTCCAAACTGCAGCAAAATTGATCGCCCCCCCCCGCCGGTCACCCGCCCGCGAGTGGGCCGGGGAGCGGGGCTCCTGGGGGGGCTTTGCAGGCTGACAGCCGGGGAGCAAAAGGGGGGGGGACCTGTGCAACACTCACCTTAGCGCGTTACCGGCTCTGCCCTGCTCCCGGTCCTTGCAGAGGCGACGGATCTAGAGCTACACCGGCTGCCTGGAGTCCCCGAGCCGCCGGCATGGGGCGGCGTGTCTCCGTGCAAACGCCCTCACCTTCGCCTTTGCAGACAAAGGGGCGACGTCTCCTGCCTGCGGTGGCCGCGGCTCGGGGAGGGAGCGCTAGACGCCGGCGCCCGGGCTGAGCGTGCACCCGGAGAGAGAGAGACCGGCGCAATGAAGAGGCTGCCAGGTTACTGCAGGCACCAGCCTCCCATCACATTTGCAGTTTCCCGGGGATGTGCACGTTACCCGCGGCAAATCCGTCCCCAGCTGGCGCTGGCTTCCCCATTGCCTGGCAGGTGGGGCTGGCTGGGCTGCTTTCTCAGCCAAGCAGCCGGCTAGGAACCCCTCTCCTGGGGCTGGGCAGAGGAGCTGCCTCCATCCATCCCTTGGGACCTTTCCAGCAGGGTCCCAGCTTCTGCTGAATGTCAGAACCAGGAGGCTGGGCTTTCCAGGCAGGTCTTACTTCCCCAGCCCACACAACAGCCTCTCTTAAAGGGGCAGTAACCCAAGCGCTGTCTAGTCCAGGTCCCTAAAGGTAAGGGCAGCCCCGGGGGCGCCTAATCCTGCAGGCCTGGGCCTGCTTTTCATCCCTGCTGGCCCACCCCAAACAATCCCCCCTCTGGCTCTGAATGGCATGGCTGGGCCTGCTGCAGTGGCCATGGTCTGTGTTACTGACAGAACGCAGCAGCTAGACAGCGGCGTTTGTACCCAGCCCATCCAAGAAACAGGGGCCCAGTTCTCCGGAGGCTGGAGAACATGGAGTGCTGCACCCACGGCTCTGGCATCAACTGAAATTTTCTAAAGGCCGTTCCCTATAGGGATGCGCCCCTGGGATACCCACATTGCCCGCTGGTTGCCGACAGAGGACAGCTACCAGCTTGGCTGTGAGGAGTAATTTGACCCTGAATAGGCAGCTAAGATCAGGGAGCCCGACCATCACCCAAAGCCCCCCAGAGTTACTGGGTGTAATTAATGAGAGAAGTGCAACATTCAAGCAGATTCTGAGGTTGATTCATCACAAACTCCCTGCCCTATATGGACGTGTGCACAGACGCACACCCCCTTTGGCAAATGGCTGTTTCCATTCAGGAGAGCCCCAGGATGGGAACAGCTGTTGGAGGATTGTGTGGGAACCCTAAAATAAACTAGGGTGAGCCCCTGGGGAATGAAGTGTGTCAGCAGAGCTGTGCAGGGATACTGCAGATTGGTGCCCCAGCAAGGTGGTGGGGGCATGTCCTGGGACGGGAATACCTGGGGTCTGCAGGTCAGGGATATGTATCAGCAGTGCTGTGGGGAAGTGACGGGGGGTAGAGGAGCTGGCGGATGGGGGCTGCAGGTCAGGACCAAGGTGCCTCAGCCAGGCTGTGGTGGGGTGTCTCGGAGTAGAGGAATCTCACTCTCTATTCAGGCCCCCATCAACCCGGTATCAGAGCCCTGGCGTTCCTCACCAGAGCTCACGCAGCCCCGGCACCTCTCTGCCTGGCTCCTGCCATCGCTATTAGTCACACATATCACCCACAACATTTCTTAAAGCATGGAAGACATATGGAAATGAGCGACATTAATGAGGATATTAATTAGAAAACCATCTGCTGAGCTGTGGAGAGCTTTCCTGCTGCCACAGCCAGTCACGGGGAGGGTGGGAGACAGCTGGAGACTGTGACTATGTGCCGATGGGTTGGACCAAACTCACACTGGGAATCAGTTAAACTGGGAGTCAGGCTCAAGCCATGTGTAATGGCAGGGGAGCCACCTGCTGCCAGAGGCAGTAGTGAGGGATGGTTAAAGGCGTACAGAGGTCTCCAGGCTGGGCATTAGAAAGGCCGGGGAGTTGTGAATACCCCAGGCAGGGGACAGTGAGGGGACTTGTTCATACATAGAACAAGGCTCAGTGTGGTGAATTCTTCGTTCATTTAAGGCACCAAAATAATCAAGCGCCAGAAGGGAGTTAAGTGCCTCAAATCCCATTGAACGTCAGTGGGAGCTGGGGGTGGGGGTGGGAGAGTGAAGTTTCCAAAAGCTCCTAAATCACTTGAGTGCTGCTGACTTTCACTCTG